AATGGTATCCTTATCCACAATAAATACATTTTAAATATTTGGTCTTTATGAAAGTCAGAAGTACTTATTTCAAACTTTTATGGAAGGCCCAGAAGGTTTGGGGGCTTTAAGGAGTGGCTTAGTTTGCTGTGCCTTGGGCGTGCTCTGTGTTAGGCAAAGTTTAACATAATATCACCCTAAACACAAAATCCCTATGGTGTCACATAGTGGTGGAAGGGTTATGCTGTGGATACCTATCTTAGGAACCATCTAAGATAAAGACTAGGAGACTTCTCAATGATGATGGGAAGATCAATAAAGCTAAATAAAGGCTGAAAAAGATAGCATTAAAAGGCCCTTATTAAGAAGAGCAACAATGGTAAAAACCAGAGCTTTAGTAAATAGTAGATATCTAGACAATGAGCTTACAGTGGGTTAACTCAGTATGTTAAATACAGATGCCTGCTGCACTATGAAAACACAGACAATAAAAAATGAAAAATTTCTCAGGGTAGAAATATTTTAGTTAGACACTTTAGTTTGCAATGCAATAGTACTGGGAGATAGTTATGTTATAAATCAGCACACATGCAAATTGCTCCTCTTGTCTCACAAATTCAGACATGTCAAAATAAAGCAAAGCAAAATTACTTGTGTTTCACTTCAAGTGAGGATGTTGTTTCCTGGTTATTTTAAAGAGAAATCATGCTTTAAGCCCATCCATTTACTGTCTTACTTTGCTCTCTAAGAACCATTTCTTCAATGTCCGTGTCTGTTCACAGCATGCTAAACAAATCAAACCTCAAGAAAAAACACTCTTGTGATGTTAAGAAAAATACTATAGAAACAATAACAACAGCAACAACAGTGCTAGCAGCATAATGTATTTGAAGCAATGTGGCAACCGATGTTCTCCACTCCAGCACATCAGAGGCACCCCAGCTTCAGTCGCCCTAAAGGTACCGGTTACAAAGTGATAGGGCTTACGGTTTTTAACTTGGGGCGAGGGGCTGATTTCAAACCTCCTTTGCAGCCAAGCGCATGGACGGCTGCTGATTAGAAGAGGGTTGGCAGCAGTGGGCAGATGCCAGGCGGGGAGAGAGATGACGGCCTGTCGCCAGTCTGCCACCCAACTCCTAATCCCCCTCCCCTACTGACCCCTCCCCCGACATACAAACAAATCACACATAAGAGATTTTCTTGACAAACCCAAATGCAGGAAGAGGATGAACTGCAGCGGTGCATCAAACTGAAGCATCAGTGATCAACTGACAGATAAACAAAGTTATGTTCTGCAGCAGTGTTTTTTTTGTTTTGTTTTTTGTTTTACAGTGATCTCAAGAGTTTTTGTGAGTTGCTTTGATCACAAGACACCAAAGTCAGCACAGCTAAGTTGTGCAATAAAAGATCACAATGCAGTTTTTCTCCTTTCTTGTGCACGCCCACGTATAAACATAAGCACACAACACACAAGCGTGGTGTGCTATTCTGCAGGTTTAAGATACTGAACATTCCTTTGCCAGCCCACAGAGAATAAAACATTGAGCCCTTTGGGAGTTTCTGAATTCAGTAGAGTGAGTGTGTTTAGATCATAACACATGCTTTCTCAAGTAATGCAAGATTATATTGACATAAGTGACTACAACACTTCTTTTGATGTAAAATTCCTTAAATATTCCCAATAGAGAGAAAATATTACCTGATTAACCAACTTAATACAGAGTTCTAAGCAACAATGTTTAAGAAAAGCTTGCTCAATAGTAGAATGGCCCTGAAACAAATTTTAAATCAACATGCTTTATTATTTCGCTGCTGCTGCTTGCAGAGCACTAACACGGATAGCTTCTGCATGTTCTTAATATTTACCCGGGTATCTTGCAAAAAAGTGTCAGGCATGGCAAATTTAGAGAACCTATACTGTAGGTATTGAAAAAAGTGACCTGAGAACGGAGGTTTGAAGAACCCCATACATGGGTCTTTATCTGTATCATGTGCCATAATTCACACATGACATAAAGCAATCACGTGTGTAAAAAAATCAGCACCAATCTATCAATCCTACCCTCTTTTTAAGTGTATCCATCACTATAGGGGACTAACACTCAAAATAAGCATTGAAATCTGGTAAAATGAATATATACCGTACAGGTTCTAGATCCATAATATTAAAATGTGTTACTCTTACAGATGCAGTCCATGTCTGTGGTGTTCTCAACAACTTGCCTGGAGTTTTTTTTTTTTTTTGTAAGCACCTTTTAATACATTTTGTAAATCACTTTTTATAATTTATTTTTCATGTAGAACAAATATATATTTGCACGTTCCAACAATCAATATTTTTTACTTATAATGTTCTTATGGTTTAGTGGTTCATTATGCTTAGTGTAATATAAAGAACAGATAAGTGTTTCAGTCTATTTAGGAGTTATTACATGTTTCCAATCACTATAGATGGTTTAAAGCTGTAACAGGACTCCAGAAGAATTATAATTACCTATATAATTGAAACTTTAAGGACAAAACTCATAAGGAAAATACTTTCTTTCAAACTCTCTGATTTACCAAACCAATTGAAATTTATAATTTTCATCAGTGGTGTTACTGTTGTGTAGTCTTTTGCTGAGCTAAAAATATATATTTTTTTGTAATTTCTACATATCTTTTCTTAATGGGTGATAACCTCTAACATAGTGATGTGCCCTTTGTTTTCCTGTTTGACCCTTTTTAATCTACCCACTTCATTGTATGTACGATCCTGTTTTGCCATCTCATTTTCTCAGTCTGCCTCATCTTTTTGTCGGTCTGTGAGTCTCTTAGCTTCCATCTCCTATATCTCCAACAGGCTGATATATTTGGAGTTGCAGTCTGTGTGAAACTGAGACCTGGAATGCACCAGTCTGAAGTTTAACAGACACCCCCACAGACACCTAAAGTGTGCTTTAACAGGTCAACAGGTGCACTTATACAATGGCAGTTTTCATGTGTGCATGCATTTATAATCTGCATGCACATGCTCCCATTATTATGTGTTTGCACATCTACGCTTTCGCAGACAATGCATGCATGCGCATAATCACTCACTGATGTACAGAAAAGTGGGAATGTTAAACCATGCCCGTGTATAGAGGAGACAGTGCCCCCTAGTGTGGACCAACCAGTACTATTATTGATGCATATATCAACTTTTTTTGACTATTAAATCTTTTGCGTTTAATGAAATCTGTCTGAAACATTGGAAAACATAATTATGTACCTAAAATAATACAAAGCAGTATTTCCAAAGCAAACAGTCATTTAAACTGTTGAGCAGGAAAAGGGTTAAAATTAGCCAATACTATAAATCTGTATATAGCATCAACCTATTTTATGATGCAATGTTCAATGCATTTGTCCCTTAAAAAAAAAAAGAAATAAACTTATGAGAAACACTGCACTCTGTTCTGCAGGGGAAAAATATAACTCACATTTTGAGTTATAACTTTTGTTGATTTTAGTGAGCATGTAATCTCAAAAGTGACTTTTATTTCTTATATTAAACAAAGGTTGGAATCAAATCCAGAATTGATATAAAAACATAACTTAAGTGTAGGTTGTGGGTTTGTTAAACATTGACTGAGGGGTCATTTTACAAAGTTTTATCAAGTAGTGGTAGGAAAGAGGGCACTTAAAATCTTGGGGTGACCCAACAAAACCAAAAGATGTATACGTTTGTGATTTGGAGATAATGTTTGAAACATTACTTTTGAAGAGCTGGAAATATAAACCTGAATACCTGCTCAGATATTTTTATAAACCCATTGTTATATTATATGTTTTCAAACACCTGAACCCACCATGCTTTTATAAAGCTTCTTTCAAAAAGTATTAAAATTAGGGACAAACATTTTTACTCGGAGCAAACATTTGAGGCTACCAACAGAGTTTATAGCACTTTTTGTTGTTGTTGTTGTTGTTCTTTTCGGGTTGTAACGTGTGAAAGCTGGTCTTCGGCCTATAAGAAAACACATTTCTGTAAAAAAAAAAAAAAACAAAAAAAAAAAAAAAAAAAAAAAAAAAAAAAAAAAACAATGGACAGCTCGCTATGGAGCAGTATCAAAAAAAGTAGCTATCTTAAAATTAAAACAGTTTGAACAAAAGGTAACACTTCTCATCAGACTTTTAAATATGTTTAGTATGCAAAGTAATGAATTACAGTTCTAAAACAACTTTTGCAGACATTTCTATTAAGATATGAAGACCAAGGTACAACACTGAATAGTGAATGGAGCCTGAAATCTCATTTACACTAGAGCGCGACCACTTTCTGACAAATTGCACCAAAGCAAAGTGCGCACTACTGTGTGTGTGTTTTAGAGAAGATTTAAGTAATCTCCGTATGTGAGATTTATCCATTACCAACAGCGTTTTAATAAATAATAAGTGGGATTGTTGTATCAAAATGCTCCAAGTGGCGGGACTTGAAGAGGTGAATGCGACTCCTGCAGGCCTGAGTGTGCTTTAACCTGAGGTGCGCTCACACTGCTCTGGCTGCTTGCATATGATTAAATGAGCACCTGCCTGTCAGAAGACATTTAATATTTCTATTTTGAACGAATCCAACTATTTAACTTGCAGGTTAGAAAGTTTGAAGAAGTTGATGGAAATTGGAGCATTCCCTGTTTGTCGTTTTTTCTAATGTAATTAAAAAATATGAACAATTCGTAAACTTATAAAGTTTAGTCCCCCCCTCCCAAAAAAAAGTAAGAAAAAAGACAAACAAAAAAACAGCACTTAACATATCTAGACTAGAACATCTATCCAGAATAAACCAAGAGATGGATAGGTCTATAAAAATCCAAACAAGCAAACGAAAAATGAAATTGCGTCCTCTCTAGTTTAGTATAGAAGCTTCTCCTTCCCGTGTGGAGTGCTGGTTTTGTTCGGAGGCTCCATTTCTATCCAACACAAAGGGGGCGGGGATGGGATATTCAGATGAGCCGGAGTGACAGCTCCAGTTCCCCCCAATGCTCTGTGTGTGTCTGAAACTCAACTGGCTCCTTCCCTCCCAACTCCTCACTTCATAGCGCCGCGCACTAAAAACATCGGACGCTAGGGGATCAAGACGCATGCCACATTACCTCTATGTGGGCACTTTAACAGATCTTTCGGGGGGTTTTTTCTCAGTAAGGGGGCTGTTGAGGGAGGCCTTTTTTACTTTCACTGTTTGATGACTGTTTGCACAGCTGATAATTGAGTTGATTGTTTATATTTTAGCCGTTGTTATCCACCGCCTTGTGCGCCCCTTTTTCCCTACTGCTTTTTTTGTGGGGGGGGATCGGTGAACTGTACTGCGCTCACCAATGTCCTATCCTCAGGGTTACCTCTACCAGCCCCCAGGCTCTCTGGCTCTTTATTCGTGTCCGGCTTACGGGGCTTCGACTCTGGCTGCTCCGCGGAATGAGGACTTGGCGAGATCGTCCTCTGGCTCAGCCTTCAGCCCGTATCCAGGCTCGGCCGCTTTCTCCGCCTCGGCTGGTGCGGGGTTCTCCAGCCCACTGTCATACTCCACAGATCCTGCGACGGGATTCCCATCCTACATGGTAAAATAACTAATGTATGTTACCGCACATTATAAAGTAGTGGATTTCTCTGTTTTAGTCGGCGCACAGTCTTAATCGTGTCCCCCAAAAATGGACGTTTTGCAATATTTGCTTTTTTTTCATTTCCAGATCAGTAAGTGCGAACTTCTTCATTGAGATCTATGAATTTATATGAAGTGGTGTCTTGGAAGAGGCTCTTACTTTCAAAGTCATTCAACCGCTCCACTTAAATGGGATTTTAGGCATGAGCTGAAGATTGAAATAGCTTGACCACCGCTTAACTCTCGCTGCGCAGCTTTGCCAAATAGTTTTATTCTGACAAGTTTAGAATCCTAAAGGAAGATATTTGTGACATACACAAAATAATATATTATATTTTCTGGTTTTAAAATAGATGCAATTGATATGTTGTTCTTAAGTTGTCCCATTTTTGTAAAAAAAGAAAAAGAAAAAGCAATGATCATGTCAAAAGCGCTCAAGAGCGTTTTTTTTTTTTTTTTGGAAGAGGTGTATATCGAGTGATTTGTTAATGGGATTTGCAGTTCTGCAAGGAGAGGATTTGTCAACCTATTAGGAAAGAAACAACAGAACAAAACAAAAAGTAAAAACAGGAAATGTTTTGACTTTATGAAAATGAGCAAGTTAATGGGTGATTACGCAAAATTACATTTCCATCAGTGTGATCCTCACTGCCGCATTATCTGGAGCTCTGTTATTAGCTAATCCGATAATGATCTTAACCAACTATTTAGCATTAAATTATTCTTGTTTTTTGTGTTTTTTTTTTTCTGGAGGGGAGGGGGGTGCGGCCTGCTTTTACGCACGGCATTTGGACTGTACTCCTTGCAGCTCATTTTCTTTTATTTTACTTGGCAACTTGTCTAAGGTATTTATTCCATCGGCATACAATGGAATAACTAAGACATGTGACATGCTTATCATTTTTTTTTTTTTGCTTATTTTGAGTTGCATGTTTTAAACTGCTTATTAATGTAACTTTAATAAAACGACTTACAATCGAATAAAACACATATTTTTTAATGCGTAATTGTTGTTGTACCATCAATTTTTTATTTCAAACAGAGACGCACAGATAGGTTTTTTATATTTTTAAACCAAATTTAAATCAATGTTGTAACTCAGTTGGAAAAATTCCCTAATGGAAACGTGACTTGTTCCCAACTTTTTCTCCCCCTGAAGTCTTCTCCGTATGACGCGCACACAGCGGGCATGGCCGGGGCGCTCAGTTACCATCCATACGGGAGTCCGGGGTATCCCTACCAACTAAACGACCCGGCTTACCGCAAGAACGCCACCAGGGACGCCACGGCCACTTTGAAGGCCTGGCTACAGGAACACAGGAAGAACCCGTACCCGACTAAGGGAGAGAAGATCATGCTGGCCATCATCACTAAGATGACCCTGACACAGGTCTCCACCTGGTTCGCGAATGCCAGAAGGAGACTGAAAAAGGAAAACAAGATGACCTGGGCGCCCCGTAGCAAGAGCGAGGACGAGGACGAAGAGGACGGAGACGGAGAGAGGAAGGAGGCGGAGCGCTCTGACAAAACCCTGGATAACAGCGAGGCTTCGGCAGAGGACGAAGGTGGGGTGTGATGTGGCAACACGCAGAGCCAATGATCAAATTAACTATTGAAGCTTGTACACGAGCAGGCACACTCCCTCCCCCTTCTACCCACGCTCATTTATGACATAGGATTAATGTCTTTTAGGAATATTAAGAATATATAAAGAAAGTTTAATTATTACCAAAAACATGGCGACAAATTATTAGGGCCAAAACGATGCCACTCTAAGTTTCCTGAAGGGCCTTTTATTTTTTTTATAACAACAGTGATACACACTTTGTTATTATATATGTAAAACATATAGGCTAGGCCTATATTTTTTTACAATAATAAATTATATTAATCTTTAATCATTTTTTTATATAATTTGAAATCTAACCAAAAAGTTTGATGCACTGTTAATTATCTAAGTTCAAAAAGTTTTGTTTTCTAGATTTTGTTGTTTGCGTTTTTGTTTATTTTTATAGTTTTTATCTTTTTTTTTTTGTTTGTTTTTTGTAATTATTTACATTTTCTCCTCTTGTCTCAGGCATCAGTTTGCACGTCGACACCCTGACGGACCACTCGTGTTCTGCGGAGTCTGACGGGGAAAAGGTCGGCTGCGCATCCGAGCTCAGCTCCGATGTGGACAAGTGTAACGTGGACAGCGTGGATCAGAGCCGCGGCCGTCGCGAAGGTCTCTCCCCCAAACCCGTCACCTCGTCGCCGCTGACGGGCGTGGAAGCTCCGGTTCTCACCCATCACCATCATCAGCACCACCACCTCCATCACCTTCACCACCTCCACAGCCAGCGGGAGGATTTGACTCGCAGCCTCATGAACTGTAACGCCAGTAAGTTGTCTTCCTGCCTGGACAACAGGCCCAATTCGTCCGGGGCGCCTCAGAATCTTTCAGCAAAACCCAAACTGTGGTCTCTGGCCGAGATTGCTACCTCGGACCAAAAGCAGCAGCATCAGCAACAGGGGCAACCGGAACAACCGAGCTGCCCCTCCTCCAACAGCGGACTCCTTACTCCCCCGACGCCCTCCGCTACTACACCGGCTGCCAGCTCCCCTTCACTTTACCCGACCCCCTCCATCCTCGGAAGACCTATTTATTACACTTCCCCGTTTTATAGCAATTATACAAACTACGGCAACTTTAGCCCCCTGCAGGGGCAAGGGATCTTGCGGTACACCAACTCCGCTGGAGTGAGTTTGGCAGCCGCCGCGGCCGCCGCAGCGGCTGCAAACGAGGGTCTGAGCGCCTCTCTAAGGGCTTCAGAGGCTGGCGCGGAAAACAAACTCAAGCCAGACTCCCCCCCGTTCAAAAATAACTCAAACCAGATTGCTGCAGTCGAGCAGCAGCATTTCAGAGCCACAAATATAGAAGCAAAGAAAGGTACGTAATGTGGAGAACTCTAAAATAAAAAAACTCAAGATCCTTTTTTTTTTCTTTTTATTATTATTATAATCTTGAAATTGTATTTCACATGAGCAGTGGTTCAAACATGCAATTGTTTAAATGTTTTCAATGCAAAACAACTGTTCTGCTTTTGCTCACTTTCGTGTGTCATTACTTTCTTGTAGGGAGAGTTTGCCTTGCATTAAAAAAACAAAAAATTGGAAAGTTGGAGGTTTGATTCTGGAGTAAGAATAAGCGACACTTAACCACATTCATATACTTGTGTTATTTTTAAGAGACTCGTGGTCTCAAGAGAAAATGATAACATATTTTTAAGGAAAAAGCATCCAGCAGCCTCGTCTCTTAATAATTTCAGTTTATTATTCACATTTAGAATTTTACTCATTAAAAAAAAAAAGATATCTATTTCTCAGAGGAATAAGACAACAAGCTTGGCTTCGAAAAGTAACAAGATCATTTAGCACAAAATTAACGTGCAAAATGAAGCATCCACAGTATATTAGTAAAGGATAGGCCTCAAACAAGCCCAACCACGCACACATACCCAGACTCACACCCACAGAAACGCTCATAAGTGTATGTTTTGAATCCAAAAGCAGAGAAATGTTGCCATAGCTTTGAGCAGGAATTCTATTTTTATTGTTTCCTTTGTGTGTGTGTGGGTGTGTGTGTGAGGGGGCACAGAGAGAGTGTGGTGTGTGCACAGTGGGCTTCAAACCTTATCTTTCAGCTTAGGATAATTATAATTACACAGGGTCAGCCAAATGCAAACAAATTAGCTTGCTCTGCACAGTCTTAGTCCAACTTCAACAAGTCTTTAAATGTCACTTTCACAGATAAAACCAACTGTTAGAATTTGGCCAATAAAATTGGTGCAAAAGGATGAATTTTATTTATGAGGACTTGCTTTGTTAATGAGTAGCAATTTAAGTTTAACAGCTTAAAACTTACTAAAAAAAAGAAATTTCCAACAATTAAAAAGAATAAATAAATATTAAATTAATTTTGAACTACATCTAACCTTTTTTCATATTGTATGGCTTCCATTTATCAATTTAATTGAAGAAGACAAAAATCATTAAACTTTTTAAATCTGGTCTAACATGATGAAATGTAACTTTGTCCCTGACAGCCACAGATGTGCTGGTTATTGGCAACAACTACCTCAGGGTTAGGAAGCTCAGATTGTTTGCAAATTTAACTTTAGCATTAGTGTTGTTAAACTTAAAGCTGGATGTAAACAAACTACTAAAATCATACAAGCCATGAGCCTCGTGGAAGGTCTTAATATACAATATTATGGTGAGAAATAATTTTCTTTAAAAAATTCTCAGCTGGATCCAAAATGACAAGTGAGATTAGGTAATTATCTGACATCAAAATGATCTGTTAAATTCTAATAAGATGCTTAGGTAGGAGTTGTTACCCAACTAAATTAGCAAAGTATCACATTTCCACAACATGTTTAATTAAAATTGAAGTAATTTTAATAGCTGATATTCAATTCCCTCAAATATACATTTTTACAGTGTGGGTGATTTTGAGGATTGCTTACCTTTCATATGTGCTGTTGCAGAAATTGTTCAATAGGATTTAGGGTACTGGTTATATTTTTAATTTTAAGCACTTGCAATTTCATTTGCTTTGATTTTTCTAACTAAAGCAGTGTGAGAATTTTTTTTTTTTCAAGGATATTTATTTGGATTCTGTTTTTATGATATATATTTCCTTGTCCTGCAGATAGGTGTCACAATTGCTCAGAATATAAAGCTTGGAAAAGAAAGGCTTTAACATTTTTAGTCACATGCTTAAACCCTCATGACCTTTTGCTCCAAACTAGGGATCTAGTGCCACCATATTTTATTCTTTTTTTTAAATGTTGCTGCTAGGTCTTTCACAGGTTTAGATTTTCAGTCGGGCGCATTACATTGTATTGTTTCCTTCTTTATCATTATTGATAACCTCCCATAATATGTGATATAAATGTTATTTCTCAGGTTCCTCTTGATTGCATATTTGCCACGTTATATTATGATTTGTTATATATCTGTGTGGAAAAACAACATATGGCCTAGGAAATGTAGTTAGGGGAAAGGGAGGAGACTTCTTAGGACGCTGAGCTGATCTGAAGTGAACTTTGAGGACTTCAGAGTGGAGTAGCCTACATTTGATATTTATTTTTTTAAAACAACAGCAAAACAATGCCTATAATTTATGCAAGTTGTATTGCAAAGGTGGAAAACTGACATCCTCTGTTTTGTAAATATAAATATGAATATATATATTATGGACTGTTCTTCTTTTGGGTGGGGACACACAATCAGGAGTACTTTTACTAATTTATATGACTGTAAATATATAATAAAAAGGTGGGGTGTTATATCCAATATAGAGAATGACAAAATATTAAACTCCTTTTCCCAACTATAACATACATTTTTCAGATTCTTTACTTTATTAATACAACTTGTGTTTAATACAGCTTTTTTTCTTTAGAATTATCCTCATTCATCGTTCTCTTATTATGTCAGTCCAGCACAGATGGGGTATGCTTGATGACTCATAGCATTCATAACTATTATGAGTTTTCACAGATTGCACAATCCATTCTTTCTAAATGGTCAATCATTTTCTTTTAGGGCCTCATTCTGCTCCCTTGGTCAAATATTCACAACCTTGATGGGGATAAACGACATACTTATTACACCCCCAACCCCCCTCCACTTTTTCTCTCCCCACTCTTGCCCTGCCGCACATTTATTTTTTCAGTGTGATTAATACAGCCGAGGGGACACATCGGGGGCATTATGGGCTCCCAGCGGGGCTGTCCCTGGAGCTTTTTCAGCCTGGTTCAGGACAGGTCAGCCCTGCCTGCTTCATTACAGCGCCAGAAGCATCGAGCGATCCATAAAAGTCTATCTAAGCATCTGCCAGCTTCAATGGGCTGTGTGATGGGGCCTAATCGGAGAGACTTCCCCCTGCTTTTCATCATGGGTTTGCTATTATAGAGTACAGCTAATTAAACAATTAGAACTCAAGCCCACTTCTGAGGATATTGATAAATCTATTCAGCTATTTTACATATTACCTTATTTCTACATTAATGTTGAATTATAAATTCCATACTTTTTTCAGTTTCAGTGTTTTTAAGAAACAAATAATATTCCCTCCCAGCATTTATTTTAGCTTAGATGTACTGTAAGTTGATGTGTAACGGCTAAAAAAACGAATAATTTGTTTAAAAAAATGAGACGAGTAAAATAAGGATTTTCAATACAGAAATCTTTTATAAAAACACATGCAATAGCCTATGCACTTATGAAAGACTACTGAGATGGCAGTTGCCCCAGAGACCGGCAGCCAGCTACAAAAGGTGATTAATTAAGTGGCTGCCCTCAAAGAGTAATATATCCACACATATGAATGAAATGATTAGTGGAAATAAAATTGGTGGAAAAGAGTGTTATCATATTCCTTATGTTAAGCCACTCCTGAAAAGGAGGTGCATTTTGCATGGGCTCAAAAGGACTAAAGCAAGGGTTGCTCTGCAGACCCTATTTTCAGATTAAAGTAAATCGTCCATTAAATGTTTAAAAGCTCAGTGATGATTTGTGTCATCTGCTGATGTTCCTGAGTGTTTCATCAAGTTCATCGTTAAAGCAGTGCCTCTATCTTCCAGGAAGTTTCTGAAGCACTTCAAAAAGTGCTTCAAAAAAAAAAAAAAAAAGAAAAAATGTCATTTTCAATGAGGACCTGCCAATGATGCCAAAAGTAAACCCCTGTCTAGGATATAATGGGTGGTATGAAGAGGAAGATAAGAGATACAACAGAAAATAGTCCAGAAGATGTAAATGCTGCTAATAAAGAAAACTTTCGTTCCTTAAAACCTCAACAGTATTAGAGCCTGATCACTACCATGCTGCATTAATCAAATTATTGATGCAAAAATACCCCGAGCCAAATATTGAGTGTACATATTGTACACAGTAAATGTTGCAGTGTTAAAGTAACGTCCTATTCTGACTTAGTATGGGACCAAATGTACTCTAGTAAAGTGTTACTTTAACACTGCAGCATTTACTGTGTACCGTATACGTTTGAGAAGTCAGGCATCCCTGCACCTTAATGCATTTTATTAGGCGTGTGATGACCTGACCTTTGAAAATTATAGGGGTTGCTGGTGCCCTCCTTACCCCCATCTTGATATTGCTATTGTTGTCAATCTTTTACAGGCCATAATATTAACTATCATCAGGTAAACAGTGACCATAAAGACATACTTTTCATTAAATTAGGTGACATTGACAGATGTCATATTTTGATAATTTATTCCAAATTTAAAGGACCCAAGCTAAATTATGAAGGACTCCTGTTTGAATATAATGTTATCCTTCAGATGATCAATGACTTGATTTGATGTATGCCCCCCACCCGTATCATCTTTAAACAATCAAGCAGGTACCTACTGTATATGGGAGTCACTGATGTTATAGCCCCTGGCCAACTTCTCATTCCTCAGTCCAAAATGCTTTCAATAGGAGCAGGTTTGTTGAATGCTTGCTTTATTCTCAGGTGGGCTACCCCAAGGGGCTTGAAAGCGTTGTCAAATAGCACCAGAGGCAGTCTCTGCCCCCACCTTCCTTCACCTGCTGCTGCTCCCTTCAAATGTCAACATTTGTTCTCAATCAAAAGAGTTATTGTTTCTGCAAGAGTGGGAAAAAAGGAAAGAGAAATTGCTCTGCAACCGGTCACCTTTGAACACATGAAAAGAAACTTCCCACCCGCACCTTTGTTTGATTGAGAGCAATGGCAGGTGAAAATAGGAACAAGGCACCAATTGCACATGATAAACGTCAGGCTATGAAGCCTTTTTTTAAATGATTGTGAAATTATGCCACAGTGGTGGAGAGGAATTTTCTCCACTGTTTTATAAACTTTTGGATAAGATCCAAAAACAAGTTGCACAAAAAACTATAGTTCCCTTGACAAACCCTGGATATTAGTCCTCAAAGGAGAAAATTGCTACTTTTTACCATTTTATTGACACCATAAGATAGAACTCTGGATAATCTGACACACAGCCTTTAAGACATGGTTATTGGCATTGAACTTTTTACTGATTTTAAAGTTTAAACAAGATACAAAATATTTATTTTTAGAATGTATGTAGTACAACCACATGAAGTAGAATATGATTGTGAAGTGGAGAGACAATTATACAAGATTATCTTTTTTAAATAAATAATAATAATAATAATAAAAAAAAAAAAAAAAAAACAGACCCAAGGATCTGATTGTTCCCACGTTGAAGTTGTTTAAAATGTAATGCAGGAATAAATCCTGGTTGTATCAGGAGCTAGAAAAAAGTTGTCAAGTGGTCACTCCTGAATATTGAAGCAACTGACACAAACTAAATGAGCTGAATCAGAAGCTAAAAAGAGATAGAACACCATACAAAGTCTGTTTTATCTAAGGACTCAAATCAAATATTAACCTTACCTGCAAGCTGAATACTTGGGTAAGACTTGTGGTTTCTGTGTGTTTTCAAACACATGAAAATCCTTTTGTAGCTGTTCTGCTTCAACAGTTCGAGACTGAACAAAAACAGGGTGTTCAATCATGCTGCAGTATTATAGTTTGAAGAGGGACATATAGCTGTGCTAATATATATATATATATATATATATATATATATATATATATATATATATATATATATATATATATATATATATATATATATATATATATATATATATATATGTATGTATATGCTGTGTATACTAACTGGAGGACTCCAGATAGTGAAGACTAAGGAGCTTAGATCCCGTGGACAGATGTGGCGCACCAACCAGACATTGTGATAATTGATAAGCAGCAGAAGACAGCCGTAGTGATCGATGTGGCTATCCCTAATGTAAACATCACGAAAAAGAACATGAACACAAAACCACAAGCTGGAGAAATACCAAAGGTTCAAGAAAGACCTAGAAAGAGCCTGGAAGGGGAAGGCAACTCTACATCCCGTGGTTATCAGAGCACTCGAGGCTGTAGCACCCCACACTAAATAAGTGGTACAAATAGAAACAATTAATCAAAGTAATCGAATATTGAAATAATCATCAACTAAGTCAGTAATCAATTAATCATGAACTGGAGTATAAAGACTCTAAAACATGTCTTTAGCTGAAATAGAAACCCACTTAGAGCAGTAAATATACCAAGATTGTAGAAAAAATATTTAAATATTTTGCGTTTAAGAAAAATCTTTTTCTTTTGTCAATATGCTCTATCCAGAACTCTTTAAATAAAAAAAACTCTTACTTTCAGCTGGTTTAATTTCACAAAAGTCACGTTACTCAAAAACAGGCAGTTACTCCAGGAGAGCTTGACAGGGCCGTAGAAGGTCTACAACCCATCAGCAGGACCGCTATCTGTTCCTTTGTGCAAGGAGGAGCAGGAGGAGCACTGCCAGAGCCCTACAAAATGACTTCCAGCAGGCCACTGGTGGGAATGTCTCTGACCAAACAATCAGAAACAGACTTCGCTAGGGTGGCCTGAGGGCCCGACATCCTCTAGTGGGCCCTGTGCTCACTGCCCGGCACCCATAGCTCGATGGGCATTTGCCACAGAACACCGGAATCCGCCACTGGTGCCCTGTGCTTTTCACAGATGAGAGCAGGTTCACCCTGAGCACATGTGACAGACGTGAAAGGGTCTGGAGAAGCCGTGGTAAACATAATGCTTCCTGTAAAATCGTTCAGCATGACCGGTTTGGTGGTGGGTAAGTGATGGTCTGAGGAGGCATATCCATGGAGGGACGCACAGACCTATACAGGCTAGACAACGGCACCCTGACTGCCATTAGTTATTGGGATGAAATCCTGGCACCCATTGTCAGACCCTATGCTGGTGCAGTGGGTCCTGGGTTCCTCCTGGTTCACAACAATGCCCAGCCTCATGTGGCAGAGTATGCAGGCAGTTCCTGGAGGATGAAGGCATTGATACCGTTGATTGGCCCCCACGCTCACCTGACCTAAATCCAGCAGAACACCTCTGGGACGTTATGTTTCGATCCATCTGACGCCGCCAGGTTGCACCTCAGACTGTGAGCTCAGTGATGCCCTGGTTCATATCTGGGAGGAGATACCACAGGACGCCATCCTCCGTCTCATTAGGAGCATGCCCCGATGTTGTCAGGCATGCATACACGCATGTGGGGGCCATCGAGATGACTGAATACCATTTTGAGTTGCTGCAATAAAATTTTAGCAAAATGGTCTAGCCTGCCCAATTCAGCCCTCTGTAGGTTGATAATTTTCATTTCCATCAAATGATATGGCATCCTTTTGTTCCTAACACATCACCCAGTATCAGTATAAATAAACAGCGTGATTTTTCCCCCCATTGAGATCTGATTTGTTTTCAGT